TACTACTTATATCGTTCGTATAAGTAGCACACACCACACTACTACTTCAATGCTTAGCCAGCGAATGACAGCCGATAAAAATATTACTTGATACGCACTAAAATACCCTGGAACCAGTTTCCAGGGTATTGGTAAATTGTTGGATTTAGGATTAATCTAAAATTATCCAGCACGCTAGCTAATTCATATTCTTTCAAATTGTTGATTTGCTGTAAAAAAATTGTCATATTTATTGAACAATGTATCTGTTCAAAAATAAATAATAATCCACCAAACTATTTTCTTCTTCTGAAATCAAAAGGTAGGAACAAATATCAACAAGGCGTGCGTAATTACCATAATCAGTAATGGCATTGTCGTACTGTTGTTCATTTATGTCATAAACATAAATCTTTCTTCTCATGATAATTTTTGATGTTCACTTGTCTTTTTTTTTTAACTATTAAGTTCTCTATCAATTTACAAATTTGCTTGGATTAAGTGAACACATGTAATCGTTGAATGTTAAGTGTTCTGTTTTCGATTGATTCTTATCACGTTTACACATTTATATAAACGCTGTACACATATGATGAATACACAATTAATAAGTATGCCGACATTTTGCTAAGTTTATTATCGGTTGTTTGTTTGTACAGTGAAACTAAGACGCTGATTGTTAGTCGGCTGAGAAAAAAATACTGTAATAATTTGACGATGATATATTTGCAATGGGAAGCAGTTATTCTATATATATATATACACTGTCTAGTCAAAGAGACCATCTGTTTTCAAAGTTAACTCTCATTTAGTAATAATAATAATATCATGTGATGAAGTTTTGTGCTGTAAGATAAAATGACCAATTTTTTTCTTAATAAGTCAAGCATTTCGAAGAAAACTTAAGGGAACTAGGGTTTTTTGTTAAAATATTTATTTCTTTCGGATTTAATCCTAGGATCTTTTACATTAAACGATATCAGAGCTGAAAAATTGTGACATTTTGATTGTTCACACATATTGCCGATGACATAGTTCTATTCGGTGAAGACGCTGACAAAATGCAGAGGCTTCTGACTACCATAAGCAACAATGCAAGCATGCTCGGGATGCGGTTCTCAACCTCGAAATGCAAAATGTTGCTTCAAGATTGGGTTGCATCGGCACCTGAACTAGTGATAGGGAGTGAAGTATTCGAACGTGTAGACCACTTCACGTATCTGGGAAGTCTCATCAGTGCCGATGGCCTGGTGACTGACAAAATCTCAGCGCGGATACAGAAGGCTCGATTGGCTTTTGCCAACCTGCGTCAACTATGGAGCAGGCGAGATATCCGTTTGCTAACCAAAGGACGAGTGTACTGTGCAGTAGTTAGCTCTGTGCTACTATACGGATGCGAAACATGGCCGTTAAGGGTAGAGGACTTTCGTAGGTTACTAGTCTTCGATTATCGGTGTATCCGAAGCCTTGCTCGTGTATCCTGGGACGAACGAGTAAGCAATCCTATCGTTAGGAAACGAGTTCTAGGTAAGGATGGCAAATCAATAGATGAAGCATTGAAACTTCATCACTTGAGGTGGTTGGGACATGTGTTACGTATGCCTAACTATCGACTGCCTCGTCGAGCTGTTTTGCATTGTTGGACTAGGTTGGACGAAAGGTTTGGGGCGGCCAGACCAAAACATGGCAGAAATCCATGAAGTCACTGACAAGTGGACTGAGTCATGTTGGTAGATGTAGGCTATCTGGTTGGGGTCCGCGAGACGAAAGTCACAAATGGTTAGAGACCTTAAACGACGTGGCTCAGAATCGTTTGTAATGGCGCACGTGCATCCACTCTTTGTGTTCTCTCTAATTCTAACCTTCTGCATCCCTCGTAATCTCTACCTTTCTCCTTCTAAATTTATCTTACTGAATTATACTTTTCGAATCATATCTTTGCCCCCTAATCTTCTCCATTACTGCTAATACTTCTACTATCGCTATCACTCCTGGATTTGAACTTAGAGTTGCGTCTCTGTGCTGATGTGGTATGGAACCGGAACTGATGTACTTATGTACGAAGTTCCACATTGTAACTGACTGACTGACTGACTATTCACACATATTCAAAACACAGTTAAACAAGTATCGGTATTAATAGTCATTTAAAACACTGAAAAGATCAAGCATTCACTCGAATACCTGTAGCAAAAATGAAACGATTTTCTGCATCAATCGATGTTTCTTTAAAAGTGGTTTGAATCGAACCTACAAAATGGATTAGTTATGTGAACTGGTTTATTAAGTTTTGATAATGATTGATTATGTGGTGACGAAATCTTTGCATGGATTTGGTGAAAAGTCTAGTACACCGAAAAGATGTTTTGTTTCAAGTCAAGGTATGTAATAGTATCTATTAGTAGAAAATATGGACAGTTAACAGGTATACAGTCTTGTGTTTCTGAACTATGACTAGGACATTATGGAAGTACAAAATGAATAACACTAAGATTAGATGAATAAAATATTGGGTTTACTGATGAAATTATAAACCCTGGTCAACTGAAACAACTAGACAATGTTTCACACATGTTGCATTTTGTTTAAGCAAACATCTGCTTGTCTGAAGTAGTATTAAGTTAAGAAAAAGCAGTTTAAACTTAATAAAATCAGTTTAGAAAGTCGCTACTTACAAATCTGAATTTCGTTAATGAGTGTAAATCTCTTGGGTGGTGGATAAAATTTGTAGCTCAGGTAGATGACTGTGATGGCGCTTCATTCTCTGAGCTATATGTTTTGGTTGTGGAGCTATCATTGTTCCTCTGAAATACATCATCATTAGCAAAAAACTTCAGGTCCGTTAGTTAAAGACCAGATGAAAAGTATATGTTTTCGACGAAGATTTGACTTGACTTTCTGATTAAACAGTTATAAACGCATGAATAGGTTTGTGAAAATTTTCATTCCGGCTTAGCCAATGAATGCTTCCTACTCATAATTGGTTTTCTTGAATGTAGGAAGTGTATATATCAGTACCAGAGCTTGGACAACAAGTAGTTCAACACACTAACTTGCGATGAAAACAACCTTAGTAATTTAAAAACACGTGATATTATTCAAAATCGATCGTAACATAGTCAGGACATTCATTAAATACTCTCTTGTTAACCTTGAATATTTAATGACTAATCATGTTTTTCCTCCTTTAGAGTTTAAATTTTTATTGAATTTCCCAGTTTCATAAATGTTTTTGTTGACTTGTTTAAATATTCAATTTGATATTTTAAATTGTCATATTGTATGCAGTTTAGTTATCAGACAAATTATTATGATTTTACTGGAAAAGTGTATTTATCGCACAGTGACATAAGGTTTAAATTAAACTGTCAATACCTTACAAATTTCCACTTTGATTATAAATCTTGTTGATGCATACTAATATTTCTAAGATTGAGTTAAATTCTCCGTGTTTTGAGGTTTGTCCTATACGCATTATGTGATTTCCAAATAGAAACACTGAACATGGTAATCATCAGTGCCTCTTTCTTAATGCTTCAACCTAATAAAGTTTCAATAGAATAAAATTATGATAAGCATGACTGATATGTTTACGTCAAGGTCTGTTTTTCTCCAAATCCAAATACAACTTTCAACATAACACAAAAAAGGAGAAAAATCTAGATAAATATTTGTTATATATAAATATTATTTCCAAGGTTTGGCTTGATAATTTCAGTTTATTAAAATCATTTACACCCTTGCTATACTATACTGATATATGATCATAAAAACTTTCATGTAAGTAACTTAAATCTAATTTGTAAGCGGCTGACGAGAATTAGACGAAATAAAATTCTTATTTATGTTATTCTGGTTAAATCTTTATTCTTGCCCTCTTCAAAATTATATATATATATATATATATATATATATAATATTCCTGTTTTTCATATACATCAATACGTGGTTTATTATGATTATAAACATGTAAGCTGATGAAGTAGTAGCACTTCCAGCATCAGTCGATCTTAACATACACAAGGAGAAAAGCAAGATTCTCCAATACAATACAACATGCACCAACCAAATCACACTTGACGGAGAAGGTTTAGAAGATGCAAATACCTTTATATGTCTGAGCAGCCTTATTGATGATCAGGATGGATCTGATACAGATGTGAAGGCGCGGATCAGCAGAGCAACGACAGTATTTCTGCAAATGAAGAAATTCTACAACTCAAAACAACTATCAATAGACACCAAAGTCAGAACTTTCAATATAAATATCAAGTCAGCTCTACTGTGTAGAGCGGAAACTTGGAGAACTACCAAAGCCATCATCCAAAAGATACAAGTATTCATTAACAGTTGTCTACGCGAAATACTTCGAATCTATTGACCAGACACCATCAGCAACAACGTACTGTGGGAGAGAACAAACCAGATTCCAGCGGAGAAATAAATCAGGAAGAAGCGGTGGAAGTGGATAGGACACATATTGAGGAAAGTACCAAACGGAGTCATAAGACAAACCCTCAATTGGAACCCTAAAGGAAAGCAGGAAGACCAAGAAACACATTACTCCGAAAAATGATGACAGATATGAGAAGACTAGACAAAAACTGAACAGAACTGGAAAGAGAAACCCAGTACAGAGTAGGTTGGAGAATTCTGATCGGTGGCCTTTGCTGCATTAAGGGTAACAGGTGTAAGTAGCTAGGTAAGTAAGCTAATAACGGATTTTCCAATCAGGTTACTTATGAACAGAAAATAAAATATTAATAAGTCTATCCAATTAATTTCACTCTGATATATGATATATATTTAGTTTCAGGATGGTTCTCTTTTATTTTTCGGTCGACTTAAATACTCATTTCAACTATTTTCAAGCTTAAACTACATATTCCAACGTAATTGTGTAGTTAGTGGGTCACCAAGACAACTAATGAAACAGTTTATCCTAGTAAAAAAAATTAATTTTTTAACTGAATGCTTCTTTTGGCATTGATCCCTCACCATTTTCTTCATTCATTCTGTAGACTGAACATTACTGACGAATTCATTGATACAGGTTGTGAACAACATTGTGACAATGAGACTAACGCGGATATAGAATTTTATGAAAATAATTTAAATCATCAGCTTAATGCCTTACAAATTTCTAATATCACCAATAATAATAATAATTCAACTGTTACAGCAAATCCTAATTCTATTAATCATTCAAAACAATCAAATACATTGAATAGGCATTATACAAAACCTAATGACGCATTTATTAATCATTCATCAATTCAATATAATTCACTAGATATAAACAATCACTTGATCACTACTGAGCATGCAAACAATGCAAACGATAATGATGACGGAGAAATGCCTAATGCTGCATATCAGAGTCGTGTGAAATTTGCATCGGAAGCCGAATTTTTCTCACCTTCATATCTTAGTGAACAAGCCACCTCAGTAAGCAGTTTCACTGATTTATCTCATCTATCTAACTTCACTAATGTCACAATATCACCGACTAATACTATTACTATAAGTACTAATTCTACTATTAATACTGGCAATGCTACATATAATCTACAACATACTTCATTTGAAACAACCACTACGCTTCCTGGAAAGTCATCTTTACAAATTTCAAACTTAAACACGCATATAAATAATAGTGACAATGCAAAAGTGAATAGAGAAATTTCCAAAACCCTAACCGATGATTGGGAAACAACCAAAGAGGATAAAACTGAAGAACCAGAAACATCATCATACAAAGATGATTTTCTCTCTGAAGATGAAGATTAATGTGCAAGAAGAAAAATACAAACTGTAAAACAATCATACTACTTGATCAATGCTCAATTATGATTAAATCCAATTATTTTTGAATTGATGATTTTGAATCAATAGTCAAATTGAAAAAAAAACTATTTGAACCTATTTGAATATCGAACATACGCACACACACACACGTACATACACACATTGAAATAGTGAACAACTTTATTCATCCGATATTCTTCATCTCTTCCAAATTCAACCGTGTCTTTGATTGGTGTTCGCACAAGTCGACAAATAAGCAATACATTTTAATTTCTATATTGATCGCCGTTGTTGTCGTTCTTGTTGTGGTTGTGATTGTTGTTGTTGATCATTGAAATGATTAACAAAATCTTATTATTTTATATTATCAATGAAATGATGATTCACAAAGAAAAAAATACAAGTTCAAATTTTAATTGAAAATTAATTCACAAATAACAATCAGCACAATAAACAAATTATAGAGTTATTTTTAACGGGCATAAAACAAAAAAAAAAAGATGAATTTGTTTTGTGAAAATTTTCATTTTTTTAGTTGAATAATATTATTTTTTACAAGTCTATTAGTTGAGATGACTTTGTGTGCGGGTGTGCGTTTACGTATTTGGCTGTAAATTTTCACCAGTGAAGCAAATCTTATTTATCATAAAGATTCATATGCCGGTTTTGTGATGAAGTCCCATTTTATATCACTTTTCTGTACTGCAAAATCATTTAAGTTACTTACTAACTTACACCTGCCACCCCTAACGGAATGTAGGCCGCCGATCAGCATTCTCCCAGTACAACAAATACATCATCCTACCATTTTATAAAAAACATATCGGAAATTAAAGCATGATTACTGAAACCATTTGGAACACGTGTAACACACACAAACTAACAGAATCACTTCAATCAATCCTATGTAAATAACCAAAGGACAAAATGATAAAAGAAGAAATAGTAAACATTATCTACAAAATAAACTGTTCAGACTGCAAAAAAAATACTGCTACACTGGACAAAGAGGACATCCTCTTCAGATTCGTCTACGTGAAAATCAATTAGCAGCAAAGCGTCATGACATTTTGTTGCTTATATCAGTACATAGGGACAACTATGAACATATTCGATTGGAACAGTGCTGACATACTGGATAGAGGGCGTAAAAAGAACACTAGAGAATTTTTAGAAGTTTGGCGTTCAAGTCAATCAGCAGTCAACAAACTCATTGAAATTGATCCAACTTATCAACCAGTCAAAAAATCATAGACAAACGTAGGATCAAGATACGGATTAAAGTGGGACATAGCCAAAATAAAGATACAGACGTCTGGTTTAAGGTCAATAACAACCGATCAAGATCGAGGTCAACAGAACAGGCTGCGAGTCATGCATGGAGAAATTCGAATACTTCACTTCCGTCTGGAGTTCGTGCTGTCCTGGGCTTTCCTTCTCAATTCCATCCAGCTGCTGTTCACACCATCTGGAAACATTCTGCGGTTACTGCCTGTCCTAATCCCGGTTAGAGAAGGTTGAGTTGGGTATGTCGTTGGCAACCCTATGCCGTAGAAAAGCAACTTGCTAAATAAACACTAGCCAGCACAAAACCATTTGAGTATAATATTCTTACTCTGTGGATATTCTTGATATAAAGATTTTATAAGTTTCAAACTGAAGGCCCTAGGTTCGAATCCTGTGGGTGGCAGGAATCGTGGATGTGCACAGCTGATAAGTCCCATATGGGGACAATACGGCGGTCCAACGCTCCCAGGTTTCTAATGGTGGTCTAACAATGATTGATTGATTATTTCAACGTGTAAAGACACTGATCTCGATAACTCTAATGGAAAAAATCTTCTAAATAGACGTGAACGTTAATCACGTAATGTTCAATAGATGATGATCAAGCGCAAATATATGAATGAAAACCATTAAACAGCGTTTAATTTCACGGATAACTCTCACACGAGTGTTTTCTCATAAAAATAATGTTTGACTAAGAAAACTTATTCCTCATTATTAAATTTGTAGCATAAATATCTTATGAAACTAAATTTAGTATGACCAATTATGATAATTTTAAGTCTTCAGTGGCTTGCGGTCTGACTCCTTTTTCGGGTGGCCAATTGAGTCTGCGATGAGATAAATTTTCTCTTCAATTTCCGTTTAATATACATAAGAGAACTGAGTTTGTGCGACAATGGTAATCGGAAGTCAAATACTGTTTCGTGGACGAATTTTATTCCATTCATCCATTTAGGCAGACAGACATGAGAACGAGAAGCGTAGAAAAGCAAAGAGAAGTGAAGCAAGTGAACCAATTCAATGCTGTGAAGCATGACTAACTATTTATAATCAGACAAAAAACAGCTAGACATATACTAAGCGAAGAAACGACACATACATTCGAATAAAAACAATTGAGGTTATGAGCAAATGACTGACAAGGTCGGAAGACTGGGGAATACTAACTCAAGAATAATGGATAAATTAATTTGTCCAAAAGCTGGGACAAGCCCTGTGGGCTCGACATAAAAATGTACATACTGACAAGCCCTACGTAGTAAAAATTTGTACACCAATTTTAAAAAATGTCAGTTTCCAAAACTAACACTGAAGTATGCGGTTAAGTAGGGTGAATGAAAAGTACCATTTTGAATAAAGTACAATGATACCTGAGGGGTGAGTGTACAGTACGAAAGTGTCATATCTACATAACAAAATATATGAATATCGTATAGCCGTGGCTGCAAATAGAAATGTCAGGATGCGAATTAAAGGCCTATTTAAAATATTTTTATGTGGGTCTATGGTGTGACAGTTTGGGCAAGAAGATAATAACACGTTCGTATGAGTAAAGTAAAAATAACGTGTGACTAATAGTTTATTACTGATGCGTATGACAGCTGAATAAATCGTGAAATATAGCAAAAATTGGTCTGTGATGCTAACAAATACATGAATCAAGTTTAGTACGAACATGATTTTGTAAACTACGATTGATTTTAAACGTCGATTATCGATTAATGATTTTGCATCTATATAGTATTGAGTTTTTGTACGTAGGATTAGGTCAGTGTGGCCGTAAAATGATAACTGCATCGTGGATGACATTCATCGTTGTATTCCGATCGATAATAATTAGGAAATGCGAAGTCACTGTACTTAATTGCTGGTGTTATAACTATATGGGTCGAATTGTCGTTGAATATGATGTGTTAGTAGAATGACCAGAAGAACAGAATAATGATTGCGTTGGCGAGATATGCTGAGTCATATTCCTTTTGGTCGTGGGGATACGCTTGACCTTGTTTATTGAGAAACTTTTTTAAGTTATAAAGAAAATACTAGTACTAATACTAGTACTAATAAAACTGACTCGAATATGAAGAAAATGAGTGCTTCTTTGAGAGAATAGCTCTAAACTCTATGTTCTGATTTTCAGTACAGTGTCAAATGGTAATAATTGCAGTAATCGTACAATGGTTGGGAGTGATGACTGTATCGTGCAGTTAAATATGCGTGAACGAATCAGATGAAATTTGATGGATGTATGGACATCATAGTTAGCTAGACTCATCGATTAAACAAGTGGTTGCAGATATATTAAGAAAGTTCAGTTGAGATTATTGTCGAAGAAATACGGAACAATGACTGCTGCATACAAATGCGATGAATGAACGTTAGTTGCATATCAACAAAATAAGTTAGTACCACTGAGTGTAGGACCTAGAACTTATGTCTACGACAGCGTTGCTAACCACTGACAGCATTGAGGTGGTCGAAAACATTCTGTTATCAGCATTCAAGAGGTTCTCTCGATAACCTAAACTGATGGTTTGTGTGTATGCGCGTGTCGTCATAACAGTAGAAGCAACTGATATGTACGTCAGAAATATCTGTCATGAGATTATCAAATAGCCACGGAAATGATACTGAATAACTAGTCTCATAGAGCCATCGCTTTTGTGAATGATTCAAAACATAATAATGAGACACGGCAAAAAATGGAATGAACTCTTTTTAAGCTGGAAAATCGTTTGCGTTACAGAAAAATAAACGATAATCCAGTGAGTTGACAATGTCGTGGTGAGAATAGAATATTCTTAGTATTATGATACTGTTACTCTGGTCTCTAGGTATGCTTGAACTATTACGAGTTCACCTTAGTCGAATAACGAGAACAAAACAATGAACCAGCGTTCAGGTAGGCTACTGTTATCCTTTGACCAAAAGGTATCAGCAAGAAGTCTCAATAAAGTGTAGAAATTGTATTCTAAAAACATCCAGTCAGCACACAATGAATGCAAGCACTCAAATCGCGTTTATTTATACCCTATGGAGACGTCCTTGGACAGTCACAAAAATAGCACACTAAAATGACAGAATAACCAATCACAGACAAGGATTTTCCTGGTGGGAAATGTGATCTCAAGGTCAACTGATCAGTCCATGAAATAAATCCAAAATAAAGATACTTATCAAGCGAGTTCCGGGGATCTAACGTTCCCAACAGATTCCATAAATGATTAGTAAAATTTCATAACTGTCATAATTTAACGTCAAATACGAATAAGGAGGAATAGTTACCCCACGATAATACGAAAATAATAATATGATAAAAATGAGATAATTCGCGAAATAGATTAATGAGATGAATTGATTTGTGAACGGAATAACGGTAAGATGATACGATTTTTTTATGTGCATACAATCGCTGAACAAGGTTCGCTGCGAGCGTAGGATTCGAGATCTAGTTGTCCGCGTTCGTTTTTTACAGTTAGATACTTTGATTCAGTCCGTTAAATTCATAGAGTTTGGAAAGTTCTTACTTGATGTAGTTCTGTAGGCTGTGTTATGTTCGACATCGAGCCCATCACTTTTATGACTGCATTAAATTCGGAGCTGGACTCACCCCTTCACTGGCCTGTATCACCGTGATCAATAAGATTGTTTACAACGGTTTCAATATTAATTACATTGGTCTTAGCTAAAAATTCCCAATCATTTTCTTTTTCCTTCACTTAGTGAGTGAGTTGTGTGATATTTTGCCGCGCAAATTTGTTTATTTTAATATCTGAATGGAGAGTATAAGTCTAATAATAAAATAAAATTCATCCATATCACATATTTTTTGACGTGCTCCCTAATTTATTCTTACATAACTGGGTGAATTAAACAATTAAATCTCTTTTCCAAACAGCATGTTGGGGACGTTAGATCCCCAGAACTCATTTGGAAAAAGTCCTAATTTCAGATTTTCGTGCTCAGTCGACCTTGAAATTACATCTCACACTCGGAAAATTCTTGACTCTCATTGGTTGATGTGTTATTTTAGTTGCTATTTTTGTGGCTCACCCAAGGACGTTTTTATCACGTATTAATAAGATCAGTTTGTGTGCTTG